GTGAAAACATATTTTGCTTACATTACTTAGAGTTTTTGGCATTCGGAAACAGTAACATAACAGCCACTAATCGCGGTATAATATCAACAATGTTATTGCTTTTTGGTGTCAGATTCATCTTGCGTGCTTAGCTGTTTTGTCTTTGCGCTGGATTGGTATGCATTTATTTCGACTGCAAAACAAAAATGCATACTTTAAATCTCAATGGCACGACATTTTGTGCTGGAAACGTGCTCCGCCGCTGACAGTGCGCTGTTATCGGTACATCTAGTACAATGCGAAGCAGACTGAAGACCGCTGTTTGTGCTGTCTCTGTGGCCGATGGCACAGAATGGAGGGTTGTTGGTCGAGAAGACCTGAGTTCGAGCCGCTAAGAAAACAACGTGCTTGACCCAACCGGCTATTGCATCATGTACGGCGGCGCGCTGGTAACTGTCCAAGCAAGATCAATCCGGCACAGAACGAGTGTGACGTTGCATCATATGACGTGAAAGTCATTTCTAAGCAATCATGTGTGACAAGGGCTGGATGCCGTCTTTCAATTGACATGGCCAGGCATGGCACGGCAAATGACACGTTAAATCGCAATGCACTTCCATGGCTGACAGTGTTCTGCGTGCAAGCAACAACCTCTGCACTCTGGTCTCATTGCAAGTCATTCGAAGTACTTGTCATGTTTGTTTAAAGTGCTGCGGATCGCCCAGTAACAAGCCGAAGACCATAATAAAAGCAATAAAATAGCGCCATCGTTGAGTGGTCACGCGTACTGCAAAGATCTGGTCTGATGTACAGTGTGGAACATTCGGTGAACCAGCATACACGAGTATTTCCTAAAATAGCTTGGTGTATTTACGATTATGCGCCATTCGACCTGTATGCGAACATATGGGGCCAATGACGCTATTCGTGTGACGACGGGAGCGTCATTACGCCGGCGAGTGCGATTCCATGCGCGCGGGTGCCAAATGTGGTCGGCAATGGGGCGGTTATTATGGTCCGCACCATACATGCTGGCGTTATGTCGGCGAGTGCTAGTTGGTGTTACGTCGGCGAGTGCAACCCAGTGTATGACAACCAAAATGTGTGTGGTGATGAAGTGAAGTGACACTTGGTGCTGTTCGCCTGCATAGTATGCATATTGATGTTACCATCAAAATGCTATCTAAATTACCATGACAAGGAATCGGAGCGACAGACAAATGAATCGGAATGTGGTAGACGTGCGGGTTCGTGTCTTTGAACCGCTCACACGTGTGACCGCGTGTGACTGCGGCTTATGTGACTTGTCTTTGGCTGTCAGTTGCTTCTACCCAAAAGGCTAAATTAAGGCGAGAAAGCCGATCATGAAAAACATTTGGGAAGACAATTTATTCGCGACAGTATCATCGCAACTAAGCTATGATTGCAAAGATATCTGATTCCAAAGCCCTTCCTGTAAAACATTGGATAAAATTTTCATACAAATGAAATCATTTACAACACTTTTGCAAGCCATCTATCTTGCACACCTCCAACTCTCTATTTTGTATTATTTATCACTGTTACCTGCGAACATTTGCAATGGTCTCGTCATAATAGTTAAGCTGCCTTGCAATCCAGAAGTTCCGCGATTTAGTGTGTCAACACGGCTGTGACTCTGCATCATGTATCACGTGATTCAAAACACGGAAAATATTGCATAAATGCGTAAATATTGCATAAATGCGAAAATATTGCATAAATGTCCTGCCCGTCATTATCATCAGTAGTTGTTTGATATAAAAGTTCTTGGTATGACTGCGGAAGGCAGAATCTAACGCTTTCTCGGCCACGTCAAATATGTTATTTGTTCTGCTCTACATAGTTTCAGAACCTCCTACGCCGCCATAAAATTGTCTTTGAACAGATTGTTCGCTAAAACTTTCCTCCCCCTAACGGAACTGGTTTATACACGCAAGGATAACTTTCTGATCGTTTGCGAAGGTCCTGAAGCGTGCTCAACGAAATTGGTGCCCCGAGCTAAACAGATTGGCTCCCAAGTTTAGAGCTCCATAAGGCATTGTTTGATCGCAAATGTCAGGAACACGCGATGAAGGGTAACACAAACTGAAGTTTAAACGGTAGCAGTCCTTAACCTTGAATAGCCCACTGGAGCTTGTCTGAATGAAATAGTTTAACAGCTGAAGTGACGAGTCGTGCTTATTTTCAGAATCGTCATCAGCTGTGCAAGTGGAGCTGGTGTCTCCGAGCCGTCAGAAGCCGCTTCAAAATGGAGTCGTGCCTCCAGCAAACGGTCACGTGCCGAATGGACTCGTCCAACTTGCTCGCCACCCACCGCGAAATACGCTGGTCCAGTCCAATGGAAGCTCTCCGGAGACCCGTGTGCAGCTGTCGGCAGGCTTTCCGCTGGCGGGGCCCACTCCAGGAGACATGGGAAGGCCCAAGAACGGGTTCGGGCAGCCAGCGGGCGCTCCCTCGCGCTCCACGGCCGGCGTCCAGGCCCCGCACCTGAGTGCGGGTCAGTGGTCCGGTCAGGTGACTGGCTGGGGTTCGGCCGGCGCCTCGCCGCCAGACCGTACACACTCATCCGCCGTCCCGCATGGCGACGGCCACTACAGAGCGCCGGTAGCCGCCCGAGGCCCGTCCGTCTCCCTGCGTCACCCGTACCAGACGAGTCCGAGTCACCAGCCGGCAGCTCGCGCCGGCCAGCCGGGCCTCGCCCCCGGGGTTCCGCCGCCGCCGGGCGGCCCTCCGACGACCCAGAGCCCGCCACCGCGGGACGGGCTGACTAGAAGGCCGGGCCCTGGCCCTGGCGCGGGGCACGTTCCGAACGCTTGGGCCCCGGCGCCCGGCACCGCACACATCCCGCCGCCGGCTTACTCGCTGCCGCGGCAGCCGCCAGCGAAGGAGGAGGGCCCGCGCCCGCCGGCCACCGCCACCCTGCCGGCCACAGGTCACGACCGGCAGCGGCCCGGCACGCTGGTGCCGCCGGCGCAGCAGCAGCTGCCGGT